TGACTATGAATGCAATGCCATTCCTCTTCAATTTGTCATTCCCAGCATAGTAGTCCATATGATTGTCTGATTAAAAATGGCCACTACCAATCCATTTCGGCTCACTAATGCCTAGGATATTGATCTTTATGTGTTCCATTTCATTTCTGACAACTTCTAATTTTCCTGGATCCATACTTCATAACTTCATACCTTCCACATTCTAATTATTACCAAATATTTGCAGCTGTTTATTCCCGTTTTGAGTCATGCCCCATTAGCAAATGAAGATCCCAAAAGTTTCACTCCATCCATGTCATTAAGGTTGACTTTACTTTGAGGAAGCAGCTCTTCCCCAGTCGTATTTTGAGTGTCTTTTAACCTGAGGCTCTCATCTTCCAGCATCGATAATATCTCACACTTATTCATAAAGTTTTTCAATAATATATCACACAATGTTTCACTATTATTCATAAGGTTTTTAGTGGCCAATTTTTTTCAGAAGTTGACAGCCCCAGTCTATCTTAGTCTGGAACCTCTGCTGAAACCTGCCACAATGGGTGACCCTGCTGGTATCTGAAATCCTGGTGGCATAGCTTCCAACAACACAACTATATGCAAGTTACCACAGTACAACAAAGTAATAGATGAGTGGTGGATCAACTAATTTCTACTAGTTTTAGTAAAAGATTTCAATTTTTATCTATATGACCTATCTGCAATACACATATAGAAAAAGTTTCCATAACTGTTTTCTTTGTAGGGAAATAGAACCTAGGAAAGATAGGAATATTTTATAGAACCCTGCCCCCGTGTGAAAAAATGTCTTCCTTAATGTGGAGAATCACAACCAGATCAAACAGCTCCAGGAAGAGTCTTTGAGAGTGTACAAGTTCTCAAGCTTGGGATCCCTGGGTCATGCAAATGATTAATGTGTTCTGCTGCTAACCAAAGATCTACCCAGCGATGCCATGGAAGAAAGGCCTGGTGATCTACTTCTGAAAAATCAGCCACTGAAAACCCTTAGTTCTTCCTGGCCACACATGGAGTTGCCATGAGTCGGAGTGACTCAGTGGCAACTGGGTCTCACCCCAGACCTGACACTGCCACTTCTCTGGGTCTCCATGTCCTCACCGTGAAAGCACAGCCTTGGGTCAAATGCCATCTAAGAGGCTTCTCAAACTCGAAAATTCCAAGAACAATATTCAAACAATGAACAACAAATTAACCAAGTAAGCGAGCAAAAGAAACTATACTGCCTCTGGCCAAAGTTTCAGAGCCTAGAGGTCGGCTTATTGAAGAATCAAATTGTTCATCAAGAGAAATTTCATGCACAAAACAAGTATCAGCTAAATAATAGCACTTTTCAGCCACTATTTAAACATGACCTAAATCAGAATATAAATAGTGTTTAAAAGTTTATGTTTACCAAAATTTATATTTTCAGGCGAAACTACAGAATTCTCCCTGAATGAAAATACTATCAATCTTCTCTTACAGTGTTTCTGAATGGGAAGGAGTTCCTCGTTTTCTATAACTGAATATTAGATAACAATATTTTGCATTTTTGACAATGTGATATTACAAAGAAATTGTTTTTCTTCTGTTAATTCATCATCACCACATGTCCTTCTCAGTCTTTTGTATTATTTAATTTTTCTGTTCCTTCTCCTTCTTCTTTTTTTTAAATTATCTTGGAATATTAGTTTCTTTGTTATTGCTTTCTAAAGGATAATTTATGATTAAGTGTATTTATCTTTTTATTGTCACATATTACAAATGAAATAACATGTTTTTCCTTCATTTATTTCATTGTGGTTTATTTTATTTTTCGGTGGTAGAGATGTTATGTATGAAATAAAACCATGTTGTTTTAATTAAAAAAAAAAAATCTGTATGTGGACACTTATCCCATAGTGATATCTTCCTAAGAATGGAAGATAACCCCAACCAAAACCCACTACCATCCGGTTGATTCTGATTAATAGTGACCCCCATTAGGCTTCTGAGGTAGTAAATCTTTACAGAAGTAAGTTGCCTTGTCTTCCTTCTGTAGAACGGCTGGTGGGTTTGAACTGCCAACCTTCTGGTTAGTAGTCAAATACCTTAGGCACTGTGCCACCAGAGCTCCTCAAGAATGAAGATATTTCTGCATAATTCCAAAGTGTAATTATATATCTTCTCTCTTAATGATGTTATAATAACAAAGCTAGAAAAGTATATATTTGTAAAATGTGAAAAAGTTTAAACAGTATAATTATCTGTATTTTTGACACTCTCTTATTTAAATCATATGCATTTTGGTAGAATTTCTAGCCCCAACACGGTATGTGAAAGTGAGAGGAAATGAATTGGTATAAGTGAACTTCCTGGCACTTTAGTCTTAAGTTGACATTTAATAAGTCACACTCAAAAAATAGTATGTCATGGGATGCTTGTAATTCAGTAATTCTAGGTCACCAAGCTGACAACTCCCACTATCCAAGGATTTTCCATTTCTCAGGGGCAGTTGACTGTAATATCTATTCAAAATAAGACCTCTCTTGTAAAATCCCTAATAGTCTGGGAAATCAGGTAGGCCTTTCTACTGTGAGCCCCCAGGGCAATCTGAAAGGCTTCCTTCTCCTGCTCAAAACAGAGGTCCCATGACGTGGCCAGTAGCATAGTGCCTAAGGCATTTGACTGCTAACCAGAAGGCTGGCTGTTCAAACCCACCAGCCACTCCTTGGAAGGAAGGTTGGGCAATCTACTTCCGTAGTGATACTGCCTCGGCAACCCAAGGAGGGGTCCTATGAGTCGGGGCCGACTCAACAGCACATAACAACAACAACAAGACTGATTTGCAAAGCCTCCCAATCTCCTACTTCTTTGTGAACCCTTCAGATAAGCATGTAGATCATGTTTAAAATTTAAGAGCTTCACTGATGTCCTTAAAGGAAATAGGAGCAAAATGACCATGATTACAGGGTTTAATAAAAAGTTCATAACAGAGTTGCTGCTCTCCCCTTCCAGACATTTTGACAGATACTGTCACTCAGGACCTTCTTTCTCCAGCCTCCACTCCTCCTTATTCGGTGCCAGAGGTCAAGGCCCTGAACAATAGAAGTCAAACAGCATTGGCAGACACACTCTATTAAAATTTGCATTTCTGAGAGGATTTCTGGAGGACTGAGTCAAACGCACCCTTTTCTTTGAGTTCGGAACTACAGGATAAAAGGTTTATGAAAATTAGGAATAACTTGCAGAAGCTGTTGAATTTTAGACTATGAAATCTAAAAATTGTCCTCCAAATTTCTTTTCCCTTTTAGATGCTACCTTGGAAATTTGTTTAAATGCCCTCCAAAATGACAGTTTTGATTAAGTTCAAGAGAGATAAGGCATTATTTTAACCCGGTAGGAAAAGCAGGAGATATGACCTTATAGTTTGACAAGATAAAAGTTCAAGGACTAACTTTGCCACTTGCTTCAATACGTCATAATTGGCCTGTGTACACCTTAGCTAAGAACAGAGCAACTGGTGTATAACACCGAGTTAACGTGGATACTGGGTTCCGAGATGAGGAACTGTGAAGTGCAAACCATTGATGGAGACTGTTTTTGCGGTAGTTTTATGCACTGTTTAAGGAGCTCTGGTGGTGCAGTGCTTAAAGCATTCGGCTGCAAACCAAAGGGTTAGTGGTTCTAACCCACCAGCCGCTCCCTGGGAGAAAGATAAGGCAGTCTGCATCAGTCAAGATTTACAGCCTTGGACACTTCTGGGGCAGTTCTATTGTGTCCTATGTGGTCCCTATGAGTCGAAATCGACTCGATGGTGGCAGGTTTGGTTTGATTTGTTAAGAAGCCTTCGATCTTTTTGAACACTGGGCAAGGTCCACACACAGAAGGCAGCTAGCTGCTTTACGTAGTTCTTAATTTCTTAAATCAATTCTACCTTAAGTCTACAAAAACCCAAAACCCACTGCCGTAAAGTCAATTCGGACCTTTAGCGATGTTAAAAGACAAGAGTAGCACTGCCTCCATAGGTTTCTAAGGCTGTAAATCTTGACGGAAGCAGTCTACCTTATCTTTGTCCCAGGGAGCGGCTGGTGGGTTCGAACCACTGACCTTCTAGTTCGCAGCCGAATGTTTTAACCACTGCACCACCAGAGCTCCAAAACCTATGAGGCAGCGGACAATTTAATCAGTCAATAGCCATTCCAAGAATCCCTTTCATTTGGCGCGAATTACAAGGGAAACCAAGACATACTTAAAATATAAATGCCAAGGAACTGCAGTTAAGATAGGAGGGTAGGTAGGGCTGTGTAAAGGTTTGGTGAGTCAGTAAAGGAAGTTGGGTATGGAGTCTTGGCACTCCAGAGGTCACAGAGGAAACCGAAAAGTTGGGGGCACTCCTGAGGGTCTCGAGCACATTTTATCTGATTGGTAGAACCGCTCAGACTTTTCTTTATGGCGTCACTGGGTACCTGCCTGTAGAAAGGGCCCGTCTCCGTGACGTCAAGCATCACTGACCAATGAAAGGCCTCAGTTTCCAGGCCCCGAGGAGGGTTGTGGGCCCTTTTTTGTGAATGAAACTCCAAGGAACAACCCTCCTGGGGTCCCCCGGGGCCGTGGCCCACTGTGATCGGTCGCCTCGGCAGCAGCGTCCGCGGGCGCCGTGGGCGCGCACGGCTACCCCAGGCAGCCACAGCCGCCAGCGGCAGCACAGTCGCCTCCGCTGCGCCAGCGGGCTGCGGGGACCTGGGGCCAGGCTGGGGGGCGCCGGCAGCGGCAGGAGGCGCTGTAGCAAGGGCTGCAGCGCGGGTACCGCGGCAGCCGCAGGAGGGAGCGGGGCAGGCGCCGTGGGCTGGGCCCCTCCTCCGGCTCCTGCGCGGCCGCCTCCTGCCGGGCTTGGCCGGCGCACGTCGTCCCTGCAGCGCCACTCTGCGCCCGCCGCCCCGAGTGCCCGCGCGCGAGGCTGGCGGGGGCCTCGGCAGGCGTGCAGGGCCATGGTTGTGGCCCCCTGACGGGCCGCGACCGCCTCCATGAAGCGGAAGAGCGAGCGGCGGCCGAGCTGGGCCGCCGCGCCCCCCTGCTCGCGTCGCTGCTCGTCGGCCTCGGCGGGCGTGAAGAAGAGCCGCAGCTCCACGTCGCAGGAACTGCACCGCCTGGACCGCCAGGACGATCTGTACCTCGACATCTCTGGTGAGCCGCCGAGCGCGTGGTGGGGCACCCTGGACACACTGCACTGCGCGATGGGGTCCTAGCCCACCTACCCAGGCTGTAGAGGAGCCTCCCCAGGCGGCCACACCCCCTTCTGCATCCAGGCTTCCTGAGAGCGCCCTCCTATGCAGAGCTGGTATCTGCGTTTCTTGGGAGCTGTAACTTTACCCGTTTTGCACCTATCTCCCTCAGCGAGGTGGGCCGAGGGTCACCTTTCTAAATGGCTGGCGTCAGCTCTGCACCTCGAATGTGTTCCTCCCTCTCAGCAATTCTCTAAGTTCTTGTAGACACTGCCTGCTGGAGTTGGAGGCATGGTTATCTCTCAAGTGAGTTAAAACCTCTGAAATCGCTCTAGAGGATTCCCCGAGTGCGCTGAACACGCCTGGCGTGGTAGCTGCCCTGTTTATTTGGCGTTTGCCAAACCGCTCCGCTGCTCGATAGGAAATCGAGAGAGTCTCGCATCGTGTAGCATTTTCTGAGCCAAGAATGGAAGCCAAATCGCCTATTTCTCTCTGATCCTAGTTTCACTAATGCGCTCACACCGGCACACCCCAAATCTAGGGATAATCCCCCCACAGGACTTCAGGAGGAAATGTGTCACGTTGATGGCATTTGAACCAGTCAGCATGCCGAGTACCCAGTATCGTCACTTTTGAAAAATCTTAGCCAGCTAGCGTAGGTACAAAAGTAGCCCTTTGATGACCGTGTTATTAGTGCTGATTCTACAATTCATGAAGACTAATACATTCATTTTGGCAGCTGTTAGGTTTGTTAGAATTGACACTGAAGTGTGAAGGCATTAAATGTGATGATGTATGTGTAAACGCATTGTAAACAGTATAGCTGTCTATGGTTTTAAGGGAATTTGGAGTCTGTTTTTCGTGGCAGACTATGTTAAAGGTAGGCATGTGGAATTTTCATAAACTGCTTGCTGCCCTGGCTTTAGATAAATGAAATAAACTGGAGTGATCAGAACATTAGAAAGTGTTTAGACAAAGTAATTTAGTAGAAATTATATTCTGGGTTGATGGACAATCTGGAAACTAAGGTCCATGTTAAACAAAGCTGAGAGGAGAATGTAAAGTTTCATAGCATTTGGTGGATGGCCCTTGAGAGGAGGAGGAGGAAGAAAGAATCTACTCTAAGTACCTGTACTTTGCTGGTGCCTGCAAATGAAGGAGGGGCCCAGATCCAAGGAGGGGGTGAAGCCTGCTTGCTGAGGCTGAGGAACAAGGTTCCCACTGTGTACACTTCTGGCAGATGGGCAAGCCAAGGGTTGGGGTGGGGAGTCTATGCATTCTCTATGTCATTTGTTATCCATACCTCTTAAAAGAAGTTTAATAGAATTTTTTTTAAAAAACAGTTTAATAGCATATAATTACATTTAAGGACACATGATGCATGTATGAGGTACAGAACTCTAATTCTAAAGGTACACAGGAATATACAATGAAGCCACCAGGCACCCTTCCCCAGAGGCAGCTACTGTTCCCACTTTTGTGAATTCCAGAAATAGACTATGCATACCTAATATGTATGCATTCTCTACCATTTGTGAGTACATGGTGGCATGCAACATGTTTTGCACATTGTTTTATTTTCACACTATTTCTTAGCAGAACGATTGTTCTGGATGGGTATATAAAGCTGCCTTTAATCCCTCACAGACATCCCAACACTATGGGAGAGAGATCCAGTAGAGCTATTATATTACCTCAGGACCATAGTACTGGGGTACACCAGACTCAATTGGCACAACAAAATACATAAAAGCGTTGTTCCATGTCCTACATTGGTGAGTAGCAACTGGGGTCTTAAAAGCTTTCAAGTGGCCATCTAGGATGCAGCTAATGGTCTCCTAGCGTCGGAAGTGAAGAAGAACGCACACACACACAAAACGAGGGCATTTGGAAGCAAGTAACCCTAGGACATGATGGCCCTTGAGACCAGAAGAACCGGATGGTGCCCGGCTACCAATGCCAACCACTCAGGAAAGGATCAAATCTGGAGATCCTGGATAGAGTGGGAAGGAAAACCTGAACAAAATCCAAAAACTTAATAATGACCAGAATTACTGGTCAGATAAGTCTGGTGAGATTCTCAGTACTATGGCCCTGAAATACATTCGGCGCCTGGAATAAAATTCACCCCCAGGGGCGGGCTCTCACCCCAATGGTTAGCGAGATGTACAGCAGATCATTCAACCCAGGATGCTGCCCCCACACACTCAATGGTAATACATCCCCTAAAGCAATAAACCATGGGACACCAAAGGACCAACATTCAAACTGAGGAAATGCAGGACAAACAGGAGTGCGTAATTATGAGGGGCACAGGGGGAGTGTTGCAGGGTAAGGAGGGGAGGAGACTGGGTTAGGGTTGGGCATGGCGAATGCGGAATGAAACTAAATGTACGTGTGACTTTGAATGTAAAACAAGCTCTTAAATTAAAAAAAAAAAAGTAAAATAAAGCTGCCTTTCCCCCAGCTCCCTATTGATAACTTTTAAATTGCTTCCAATCAAAAAAGAAGGTTTTGATAGCAAAGTCATTAGGGTAAATCTTTCTCCTCCTCCATGGAGATAAAATGCAATGTGGCTAGCCTTCAGGAGGCCGTGACCAATGAAATGACTTCAAGCAGGATATTGAGGAAAGAATTGCATTATATAAAATCACGAAGTTGTTACTCAGATTACAAATCTAGATAATGAAAGAGTCTCACCTCACTGTAAAATAGCTCCAGGCGAGTTTTCTTAAAGTGTCCTTCACTGAAACTCTGGGCTACCTGGTAGAATGATAGTGAATGATTCTGTTTCAGTGTGATACTTAAACATATTAAAAATAAAATAATTCTGGATGCAGAGTTTGGATTATTGGGTTTGATTTTTATTGGGCTTCAGGGGAAGGTTTGAGGCCTAGTGCTCAGCAAATGGCAATGTAGACCCTTCCTTCCCAACTTGTTTTCTCTCAGTTACGGTTTTCTTAAATTTAAAAAGCAGTGCATGAACATGTTTGTTTGCTTACCAGTTTGTTTTTTTTAAAGTCAAACGTTACACGAGGAGATATATAGTTAGTCTCCCTCTCCCGCCAACAGACTTCTTTCCCCTCCCTTTCTTCAATTTTCTAGGTACCAGAAAGACTCTAGAAATTGTGCCATACTGGCAAGAACAGCTTTTTTAAATGGCTGCATGGTGTTCTATTGTAGGCTGAATTGTGATTTATTTCATGATAATGTGGGGGTTTTCCTAATCCTGTTACAAATGGCTGCAATAACATCAGTTATCTGTGTACATGTGACTGTATCTATAGGGTAAATTTCTAGAAATGAAAATGTTAGGCCAAAGAGTATAAATTTAAAATATCATGCTTTCCCCATTTGAAAATAATGTTCGGGAAAAAGTTTGTATACTGAAATCTTATATAACATCTCTTTGAAGGTGGGAGGAGGGAAGATGCAGGCAGAATTTTGAAATTGTGTGGAATTTGCTTGCCATAATCTAAAATGTTCCATTTTATGAGAGTTTGTGTTAAACATCTCTCTTTACTTTGCTGCCACCTGCTTTTTTCACTTTAAAAAAATTTTTTTTGCCTTTCACTTTTAAAATAACTTAAGGCATTGACAGCTTCTGAAAATTAAACAAACAAACAAAAAACCTTAAGACAAATGTTCCTTTCTCAGTCAAGGACATACTTTGCAGATACTTTTTGCCTATTCATATGCCACACTTTTCATCAATTTATGGACATTTGGGTTGTTTCCACTTTTTTGGCTATTATGAATAATGCTACTATAAACATTCATGTACATGTTTTTATGTAGGAATGGAATTGCTAGATTACATGGTAACTCCATGGTTAACTTTTTGAGGAACTGGCAGGCTCTATTCCAGAGTGGTTGTACCATCAACAATATATGAAGGTTCAGATTTTCCACATTGTTGCAAAAACTTGTCAGTGCATTATGGAGGTTCTTAGACATGGGACTGGTTTGTAAAAATGTGTGCATGCTGTCACTTCTGCCCACCCTGCCCTTAAATACCTTGACTTTTTTTTTTTTTTTTACTTTTGTCCTTTGTCATTTTTATTGCAACCTATTTTATCTGTAAATTGTATTCCCACAGATTACAGGATATCCCAGGATATTTCATGTGTGTGTGGATTTAATATAGTATGCTTGGTTTCTATTTCTGTTCATGTAGTCTTCTGTTACGTGGTCACTGTTGTTTAGTGTCTAGCTAACCACACTTCTACACTTGGTGTTTACTCTAATGTGTTCTTTTATTATGCCCTGGATGGCACAAATGGTTAAGTGTTTGATTAATAACCAAAAAGTTGGCTGTTTGAAGCCCCCCAAGATGTAACTTAGAAGGCAAGACTGAGAAAGGAGCAGACTGATGGGTTTTATTCCTACCTTGAGCCCCTCAACCTCTCATCTAGCCATTCATCCAGCTCCTGCCATGTGCAAAGATGATTTTTTTTACTTGTGTTATATTCCTGGTGCAGTTCCAGTGTAGCATGTGAAGGACATAAATACAGTATAAACTATATACATTAATGCTAATAATAACTAAGACAAGACAAGATCTGAATGAGTTGGTAAGAGTCAAGGAAGTTGTGGGGTGGGCTTTAAATTGTATTTGGAACTAGGTAACTCTCAAGATGGGAGAAATACCAAAGGAAAAAAGTTGGAGAGAGTCAGATATTTAATTTTCCCATAAACTTCCTTGAGACCAGAGGTCTAAATCTTATTATTATTTCTATATTCCCAGTCCTTAAATAGGCTCCTCCATAAATATTTTCTGAATGAATGAAAAACAAAAAGCAAAAATCCGCAAAACCCTTGGGAAAGAGATGAGCAAATGCCATAGTGCACATTTTCATCCCTTTTTATTACTGACACCACGAAAAAAATGTCAAGAGACTCTAACACTGCCACATGATCTCTGTGTTTGATAATGTATATGATTTTAGTAGCTGACAAAGA